GCCTTAAGATAGCCTGCACCCATACATGTAAGTCTCTATATTGTTCCTAAAGTTGGGGTCTAATGCATGAGTGCTGGTCAGTCAGGAGTAATGGGTACACTTCCAGTGGTTCTAAACCTTACCCAGCTTGAGGCTTTAAACCGCAGCATTGCAGGGCCTGAGACCAACAGCCCTGGGAGGGCTAAAATCATGCCCTGAGCTGTGGGCACAAAGCTACTGTATTTCACTTGAATACCTTGATTCCTTTCTTTACTAATACAAAACATTAATTTATCCTCAACAAAATAACACTGAGTATTTATTACAATATGGTAACATGGTGAAATACATAATTGTATCTGAAAACATACAGTAAAAAATGAAAAGATGGAATTACCTTGAAAATTGTCCACTGTATAAATGGTTGTGCTGGATATTAATGAATATCTTTCTGGGAGCTGTTGTGCATTTTGTGCCATAATGCATTTGCTGCTATGGTGGCAATGCGTGATGCAAAAGGACTATGAAAAAACTTCTTCAGACAGCAAACTGTTTGTAAGCCTCCAAGGTAATGTATCTATAACCTCCTGGTATGTTGGAGGGTGAACTTCTCTTGGATTTAATTTCTAATATAAGCTAGTGTTTCAGTAGGAGGCCTGAGAGCAGCCCTAAAGGCTGAAGAAAAAAAGAGAAGCATTACGTTGCTTCCAGGAAAAATTAAATAAGTATGGTAGAAAATGATGTCTGGTTACATGGGCTGTGGAGTGTTAATGCTGTGGGAGACACTTTGACCTCCAAACCCACCACAGTCATGCAGAAATGACAATGTGAGGGATCACACGCAACACAGGGGTCTACTCTGTGCCACAACTGCATGACATTATCATTGAGCATAAGCAAAGGTGTCAAAAATGCACCAGAAGATAATGTCTATTTCTAGGTCTATTTTTTATGTATAATCATAAAGGCAGAAAAGATAAAGAGACAGAATACGAAAGGCAGGTATAGCACGAAATGGATTTAAAAAAACCTACATAGTTGGCTTATTTATCTACCACTTTCCCAAAGGGTACAAATATGAGTGGTTTAAGCTAAACTAAATTCTTTCTGGGCCAAGAATGTTTTCCAACAAGTTGGGATGTTGACAGCATAAGAGGTAGGCTTCTTAAGGAGAAACCCTGGGAAGACGATAGTGATTTCTGAATAGTGAGCAAAGATGAGATCCTACTTCTCTGCAAGATTTGTGACTTGTTTGGGAGAAAAACAGTAAAACAGACTTTGGTTGTGGAGACGCTAAAGAATTATACCTTTTCTGCCAAAGAACTATTAAACTTTCGTCTCTCTTTTCTTGCTGGGACATAAAACCTGCAATCTGGTATCACATAAATGAAATCCATATCATCAGTGTAAAATCAGTATGGCACTTCAGGAACTGAGTTCCCCAAAATGAACTAATGGGCTTATTTTTTGTGTCTCTCTCAACTGCTCTATAAAAGGTTCTTTAATGTGTGCATTGGTTTTCAAAGCTTTACAGCATATAACAGCTACTTTTTCTCTACTATAAAGGTTTGACTAACTGCTCAGGAGGAAAAACAGAGAGAAAATTGTCATGTATTGCATGCGCACTTTTTTTTTTTTTTTTAAGAGTCCAGTTACTTCTCAACTGTTTCCTTGTAGATATAGCAATATGTCATATGCTTGCTTGCCCTGAAGCTTGAAGGTAACTACCATGAATCATACTATCCATGTTCATTCTTGATGTACAATCAGCACCTTCTGTTAATCAGGTAAAGGTATCACAGTAAAGCAGACAATTCACGTCACAGAAACTTAATAGATTTAGTCATAGTATGGTTCTTAATGAACTCTTTATATTCATGTAAATGTCTAATATACTTCTAAAGGAACTCTGTCATGGATGAAAATTAGCTGAACAGTCATTAACTGAGACAAAGCAGAAGAGTCACCTTGTACCTTTGGAAGTGAATGCTTTGTAAATTCCAATTACTGTAGCATGGATGTGAAAATCTGATGGAAACAGATTAAAACTTATGGTGTATTAGGAAGAAGGTATGATTAGAACAGGGCAACGGTCATTACAACGTTGAAATTCTACTTCTTCTGCTTGTTCAATGTATGACAAGCTCTTCAGCTTATTACCTACAAAAATCAATATACGACAATGGGCCCGATGCCAAACACAGGTGTCACGAGGATGACTGCTTCAATTAATCTTTATGTAAAAGTTGCTATGGCAGCTCAGTACAGTATTGTTGAACTACCAAACAGGCATAAAACAATGTAGTTTAAAAAGCTGAACAGATGAAGCCTGAGTACTTAGGGGAAATAGAAAGAATGGTTGACTTCAAGGTTTTGTGAGCTTTTTGTAATTAATTGAGTATATTCATAATAACTTAGCATATTTGAAGAAGCCATTACAACTAAACAAGCTGCTTGAGCAGACAGTTATTACAGATGGTTTTCACAGAATTCACAATTGTTCTGTTGTTAATATTTCAACTTTTGCCTGATGACTGGGTTTACTCAGACATACAAATCTGCCTGTTAACTTGGTGGACAGCCTACAGCCGGGACAAATTCTCATCTAACATGCTGATGGAGTACAGAGATATAAACAAAACAAACAAACAAACAAAAAGAACTTTACTCTTATTTAAGCACTAAAACTGAAATAGAAAGTTTAACCTCACCAGTGGGTACCATGATTTGGAATAGCTGCTTCTGCCATTCTGGAAATAAGGTTTCACATTCCTGAGGAGAGCCAAGGGATGAGAGAACTGCCTCCACTCCTCCTAGGTGAGACTGACTGAACAGAATGATATCTCTTCCTCCTCTTACTAAGGAGAGGAAAAAAATCTACAAGACACGAGTTTAAAAGGAACGATGAAAAGCTAAAGGATTCACAGGTTGCTGCAACACTTCAAAGCTCTTTTTCTCAGAAAAAAATAAAGTAAAATACTAGAATAAGGCATTATGTCACTAGGCAGGAATGTTTCTCTTAAGCTGACAGCAATCCCCTAATTTCTTCAATGATGGATGAGGTTACTGATCATTGTCCAAAAAAAAGACTATACAATGGTCTCTGACAAAGCAACAAAGACCTTGTGACAAAGAACACTGTAGACGTGGTATGAATGTAGTACAGGTGATATGGGAGAGCCCTTTCAGAATGATTCCAAACGGGGACTGTTTTTTTCCCCATATTTTGCCTTAAGGTACCAGTTTTTGGCTATACCTGGTAATTATACCTGGTTGCTTACTTCCACTGTGAAGATGCATTGTTAATTTTAGAAATTAAAACATCTTGTCACTTTTTTGATCAGTTTTGTCAAGCTGCTTCCCCTTGCACATAGGTGAGTTGCCAATAATCCATCTAGCATGCAAATTCACTTGAATAGAAACTAGAAAGTTCAAATTACGCATTCCCACGGGCTGTGCAAGAATTGGAAGGATGCAGGAAGTTGCATGTTGGTTCTGTCAGAGCTAAGCAGAAATGCTGCAAGCCATTGCAATGCAATGCAATGCAAACCACAATGAAATCCAATGCAATTCATACCCCTTGGCATTTCCACTAGAAACTGTCACATCCACTCCCCTATGAATTAACAGGACTTCAGGTGTTAACACTTCATGAAATATATTCTGGATCTTTCAGAACAGGTATTTTGGTGATGGTGTTTGCAGTGTTTGGCTTTCTCAGGGCACACTGCTTTGTAGAAGCAGCAATCCTCCTTCAGGGTGGTAGAAACAGTTTGGAGATGTTTTATTCTTTGACTATTTTGATATGGAGAAGATTTATGTTCTGTTTTGTCTGGCTTATCTGCACAGTCCCTATCGTGTCCTCCCTTAAAGTACAAAGCAGTAACAGGAACTACAGGAGCTGAAACTTGAGACTGGTATGCTACATGCAAAGTGACAAATATCCTTTCCTCCCAACTCTCTTAGGTGCAATCTTAACAAATATAGCAGTTACATGCAAATAGGAACTGTGCTTGTAGAGCAAACAACAGAAAAAAAAGTAAATATAAAGAGGAAAACAAACTCTCTTCATCAGTTTTCAATGACAACTATTAACTCTAATATACAAGGGGAAAAAAAAAAAAAAAACACAAAGAAATTACTTTGAATGGACAAATACTTTTTTTTTTTTTTTAAAAAAAAAAGTAAAATAAACTGCTGAACAGTATGGAAATGCAAGGTTTTAAGCTTCTTTTAGCCAAATAAGCATTCTCCTATGTAAAGAATGCATCTTAGAGTTTCATGAGACCCAGTACAAGAAAAGACAGTGAGAGCAAAATGCCTGGGGTGCATGCTAATCCAGCATGATTCTGTAAAATGTTCAAAGTTGTACCTGATTTTTCAGTTTCTTCTGGGAAAAGACTGTCAAACGAGGCAAGCAGTGTACAGACATATTTTTTGTTCTTCAAGCCTGCATGTCTAGCAACGCTCCTTTCAGCGGCAGAACTGAAATCAAATGCCATACGTTTCCCACCTGTAGCTGGGGGACTTTTCTAATTTTGATAGCTGGATCGGGAACATCCTTATGTATTTAATCTACAATGCTTTTTTCTTCTACAGGAATGAGTGATTTGTAGAAGCTGCACATTCTTTTCTTTTGACGCTTTTATTCAATGCCGTTAGCTTGCAATACGAGGTGTCTAACTTCAAATCATTTGACATTAAGAAAAAAAATCAAGCAAATCTGTCATGTGCTGCTACAGCTAAGGCAAACCCAAGGTTTCCAATGACAGCTGCTGACACTGGAAAGAGCAAAACACTGCAAGCAAAGCCCAGAACCTCAAACCTGTAGCAGGCATGCTGAGCAAGGCAGCGAGCACTTCTGGAGCGCTACACGTGAATGTTATGCCACGAGCACAGACAACTTTTCCTTGCACCCCGCCGTGCCCGGCTGCTTTGCAGGATTTGCTCTCCCTCGGGCACAGCGCCCTGAGCAGGCAGGTGCCGACCCGGGGGCGAGCGGTCGCCCTTGGCTCACTCACCATGTTGACTTCGGACACCACGTCGATGCTGGCGATCTCTATCCGCATGCCCACACCGACGGGCGGCCCTGCGGGGAAGGGAGAAGGGAGGGAAGGGGATGCGGGAGCCGGGCTTAGACGGGGGAAGGGGGGGGAGGAGCCCGGGCAGCGGGGCCGGGGCGCGGGGAGCGCGGGCGGCTCACCTCCGAAGTCGGGCCTGAGTCGGATGTCGTAGCCGTGCAGCAGCCCGTCCACCGTCTCCTTCACGTAGGACATGTTGCTGGGCTCGTCGGCGCTGCGGGAAGGAGCACAGCCGGGTTAAGGGAGGCGGCCGGCGGCCCCTGCGCCCGCTCCCCTCCGCCGCTCACCTGCGCGCCGCGCACGCCACGGCCAGCACCAGCAGCACCGGCAGCATCCGCAGGGCCAGCGGGCCGCCCCGCCTCGCCGCCCTCATCCCGGCTCCGGCAGCTCCCCTGCCACCGCCGCCTCGCCGGGGGCAAGTTGGAGCGGAGCGGAGCGGAGGGGAGCGGAGCACCGAGCCCCGCCGGCCCAACGCATGCGCGCAGCCCCCCGCCGCCCCGCTGCCCGTCATGGGGGCCGCCGGCACGGCGGGGCTGGGTGCTCGCCGGGGGGCAGTGAGGCCGGTGGGGGTCCCCGAGCGGCCGCCACGCGTGGTCGTGCACCCCCGGGGGAAGGGGAGGTGGGCGAGGGGTCTGCGTGGGCAGCCGCAGCGAGAGGGAGCGGGGAGGGCAGTTCTGTGGGGAGCTCACGGTGATGCTAAGGTGACACGAGAGGTGACACAGAAGAGTGTCGGTGCATCCGAAGGGAATTAATTGCATGGCAGGGTGATGCGCGTACTTTGCCCATTTGTGAGGGCTGGAGTCGTAGTTACACATCTGTCTGTCCCTCTGCTTTGTGATACCTATCATTGGAGTGGTCCCCCGAAGTACCAGGAGTGGCATATGCAGTCAGGTCACAACACATTTGGAGTTGATCTTTTTCAGCCAAAGTCTTTTATCTTGTGTTTTTTAAGACAGGGTGAACCTACGGCCTTGTGTACCCCTGCTTCTCGCAAGCAATATGACATGCAAACAATATGACATGCTGGATAACTGGAGTCCAGCAGGCACTCGGTGCCTTTGCTGGTGCTGTTCCATTTCCCTGCACAGCAGCTCAGCAGAGATAACATTTATCCCTTTCCAATTCTACCCCTTTCATCTGTGCGCTAGGCAGCCCTGTGCTCAGTGACCTGGGAATACGTATTCCCTGTTTGTGAGACTCCTACAATGTCACACAGATTTATTTCTGCAGAAAGACAGATATTGGTGACGCTCTTGTGGTTGAAATATACCACGATATTAGGAAAATGCAGGCATATTGAAATACAGAGTTAGTGACACAAAATCTAGTGTTCTGTGAAAATTTGTTACTTGGGAAGGAGCACAACATGCTTCCTATAAGACTGTGACAGGAGCGTTTTACCCTCACAGCTGCTTCTCAAAACCATGACAGTATAAGTTTGTGAAAATAAATATTTTACTCTTAGCTTATTACAGGCATAATGAGTATTTTCAGTTGGCTTTCAGGTCTTCTATGTTGAACATGTCTTTCTTTTCCTCCTTTTTTTAGTCCTTAGTTTCTAAAAAATATGATCTCTCAGCTCAACTTGTGCTTTGGCATTGCTGTTTTGAAAGAGTTTAAAATCTTCTAATCAGGATTAACATATTTTAATAGTATTCAAGTATAATTGGTGCTGCTGGAATAGATAGCACTTCAAAAAAAAAAAAAATCTCCCCATAGACACATACTAAAAGGTATCTTTTTATGCAGAGTTACATCAAACACAGTCGTAACAAAGTTACCTGGCTCCTTTGAAGCACTAAATGAGGATTTTCCATGGGACTTGAGAATCCTTTTTAACTACTTGACGGTTTGCTGCACTATCTGTTGAAAATAATTTTAAGTTTGTCATAAGCCATGAGAAAGTCAGAAATGCCTGTATAAAAGGGAGACTGCTGCTCTGTTTGGCTTTCCAAAATCTGTCATAAAGCATGAATGCAGGAGTTTATTCTATATTAATTCTTTTTTCTCTGTAAATTTCAAGGTAGCCATACTCAGACTAGCTGTGGTCTAGACCTGAGTGCCTGTTAATGGTTGAAATGTGTTAGTTGTGTTTCTGGAGCTTATCTCAGGACATCTGTGATCTAAAATGGGATCTTGAAACAATATCCTGCTGAGTGGAGGGAATGCTGGAAAGATCCCCTAGTGGTCGGGGTTTGAGAACAAATAAGTTTATATGGCACTTTGAATAATCACACAACAGAGGAGCTGCATGGCATTGCAGGGGCAGTGAGAAGGATTCCTTTTGCCCCTTGCAGTGGATCACGGCAATGCGATGGGGGCCTGTCTTTTGAGTGCTTCAGTGCTGTTCCCTTGGGTCCTGTCACTGTCCCCAGAGAGCAGAGCTCAGCCCCTGCGCCTCCGCTCCCCTTGTGAGGAAGCTGGAGGCTGCCATGGGGCCTCACCTCAGCCTGCTTTGCTCTGGGCTGAACAAACCAAGGGACCTCAGCTGCTCCTCATATGTCTTGCCCTCTAGACCCTTCACTATCTTTGTAGCCCTCCTTTGGACACACTCTAATAGTTTTATGTCCTTTTTATACTGTGGTGCCCCAAACTGCTCACAGTGCTCAAAGTGAGGCCGCACTAGTGCGGAGCACAGCAGGACAATCCCTTTCCTTTCCTGGATGGCAGTGCTGGGCCTGATACACTCTAGGGTATGGTTGGCCCACGTGGCTGCCAGGGCACACTGATGGCTCTCTGTCAACTTGCTGTTGACCAAAACCCCCAGATCACTTTCTGCGTGGCTGCTCTCCAGCCTTTTGTCCCCTAGTCTGTATGTATAGCCAGGGTTGTTCCACCCCAGGTGCAGAATCCAGCACTTGCTCTTCATGTGGATGGTGATTGCCCAGCCTTCTAATTGGTCAAAATCTCTTGGTAAGGTCTTCTGCTGGTGACATCAGCTATGTATTGATCAGCTGAGCTGGGCTTGCCTATTCCGATCAATATTGTTCCCGGTACTGGAAGGATAGAGGAAAACCCTACCTGTGCGCTTCATCCTTTAACCAATTGGTCCAATACTCTGAAGTCCCTTTTGATTGACTTTGGACTTCTCTTAGCTCCTGCATTCCTGCTGACATCAAAAAACAATAATGGACAGTAATCAAGGGGTGTACCAGACTTTTCTAGTAACATCTCTTAACAGCAGATGTCCCTATGGGTTGGGTCCGGTTGGCATATTGAGCCCTCTGTTCCCCTCAGAAGGGAGTCACCTATGACAACCACCTTTTTTTTTTTTTTTTTTTTTTTTTTTTCTGTGACAGAGGTGGTCACGGTACAAGGGGAATCTGGATGGACCTTCATCCACATCATTGTGTACCTGTCCATCGAGTTCTGCAGCATTGTAGCTGTTGTGTAAGGGCACCTGGGAGGGTGAAGTGGGTAGGAAGGGGATTTGCCTTCTGCCCTGGGCAGAAACCTGCTTCTATTCCTCCCGGTCTCTTTGGTCCCCTCCTTCTGCCAGGTCCTGAGAGGGCAGGGAATCCTTCATTTCCTGTGTTGTGGCTGGTTGATGCATCTGTCCCAGGGACAGTAGAATATGATTCCACCAGTTGGTCTACTTCTCTGACTTCCTGATGCTCCCAGCCTGCCCACCTCCTCCCTAGTTAATGATAATTAATGATAATTTACTTCTAACGATAATGGAAAATTCCTCTCCCACTCATTTCCACTTTGGGCTTAGTACTGATAGGGTCTATGATACAAACACAAATTTTGTGAATAAGATCTTTTGGAAATTTTTTCTGGGCTGCGTTAGTTGAAACAGACATTCTGAGTGGGGAAAACATTTGTTTTGATAAGCATACATAAGCACCAGCAATGTAAAACAATTGAGATCCACTGGTTTTAACTTTTTTTATTTTTCTTTTGCATGTTCTGAGACATGTTGTGTACTTACTAGAAGCAACACAAATAATAAAATCTTACAGAGTGATTTATAAAGCCTCCCTGGGCCAATTGTATGTTCATTTTTCACATTTATTGTGCAAAAACTTTCAGGAGGAAACATTTTTTCCCACACAAAGGAATGTTTCCAGTTAATTAAAGCTCATTTTTTGCAGCAATCATTGTCACATGGAAATCAGAAAGTGCACACAGTTAAAAGACAATGTTCTGCTTAGACAATATTGGCTGCTTAAAAAGAACGTGAGATCACTGGAAAAAAAAAAAAAAAAAAAAGGAAATCTTCCTGCTTCCCACTAGTTGAATTCTGTAGTAAGAAAGATCACGAATTTTAATGAAACTAGGGAAAATAACATTGCAAAAGCACTGATTACAATAATTAAGTACCACTCTCCAGTGGTACTTTGTGCCTTGTTAAATACATGTATAGGATGAGGGCAGATATGTATCCATGATTCTGCTCATAATGGAGAGAGATAGCTCTGTGCTCTTTGTATGTGGAGATGAAGACTCTGAAGGCTTATATTTGTGATGGTGACTGGTTTGAGTAATTGGAAATAGGGACTTACAGAACTGGGATACTCATAAACCTTGTCATTAACCAGAATTGCAGTTCTCCAGTCAGTGAGGAGAACTACTGCGTGAAAGCAGGACTGCTGTTAAATGTGCAAGCAACATCATTAATTAGCAAAACTGCATGAGAGTGAAACAACGTGCACAGAAAACAAGGCAAAACAGAGCTCAGGCTCTTTGGATTATTCATTGTCAGACATCTACACCCCACTGTTTGCTTGGCCGTGTGGCTTGTCATATTGCATACCCCCCATGTAAAAGAAAAATGAGAGTTAGGATGGATATACATTTTTTCTTATTTGGCACTCAGCAAGTGTCCTTTTTCAGTAATTGTACTGATAAAGTGTATTCAAAATTTTAGATCAAATTTTCAAATTTATAAAAGTTAAGGTAAATGGGCTTGAATACTATGAAATTAAACCTAGGAACTGTGAAATGACTACATACGCAGGTTAAAAAAAAAAAAAAGTTATTATTTGTACTTAAAGAGGTAGGTAACAAATACATGTAGGTCACATGTTTCATCTGCTTAGTGATAATGCTATTGTCATTTTATACCCACAGTAATCCCTTGAGTCAGATGTGGCTTGTGAGCTGTCTTCCTGGATGGCAGAAAATAGCAAGCTGAAGGTACTTTTAGTGTGCTTTGGGGATTTCAGTGCACCAGGAAAGTGACTGAGAAGAGCTGTGGAGTGACACAGTAAATTTGCATTTTATCCTGGGATCTTCAGACTGTGAATTGTAGTTATTCACCTTTAATAATCAAAGTGAGAAGGACTATAATAAGAACTGTAGGGATCTATTTGTCCTGCAATATCTCCAGCCAGAATAATTTAGTGAGTCTTTAATCATGTCAGATAAACATCTGTAATGCTTATTTGAAGTCCCTTTTCAGATCCCCCAGCCGTATGTCTATACCACTCATCCCACATCCTTAACACTGCAGAGCTTGCATCCATCCTCTGGAGGCACACTAGTCCAGTATTGCATGTCTAATGCCCAAATCCCCCTGGCAGTACATTTTCATGGCC